CCACGGCCGAGACGTTGAGCGTGGCCGAGGCAGTGGTGTTGCCGGCCGAGTTCGTCACCATGCACGTGTACTGGCCCGTGTCCTGCACGGTGACGTTGGTGAAGTTGAGCGTGCCGTCATGCAGCACCGAGATGCGCACGCGGTACGAGCCGTGCGTCATGAGCGTGCCGTTGGGCGTCAGCCAGTTGACGGACGTCATGGAGGTGCCGGTGCGGCACTTGAGCTCGGCCGCCATGCCCTCGGTCACGTTCAGGTCCGTGGGCGGCTCCACGATGACGGGGGCGTAGCACGTGAAGTGCGATTGGTCCAGCTCGCCGATGTAGCGCCCCTTGAGGCCGGCGGGCGCGTGGCAGCGCGCGCAGCACGTTGTGTTGCTCGGCACCGTCTCCTTCAGCCACCAGCTTAACCAGAGCACGTCACAGTTGCAGTGCCAGGGGTTGTGGTTGAGGTGCACGCGCTCGAGGCGGTGCAGGGGCGTGAAGAGGTCGTGGGGCAGCGACATCAGGTTGTTGTGCGACAGGTTGAGCTCCTCCAGCGACTTGAGGTCGTCGAAGGCATTGCGTTCGATGGTGGCCACTTGGGCGTGCATGAGCCACAGCTTGCGCAGGCTGGTGAGGCCCTGGAAGGAGCCCGGGCGAATCAGGTCCAGCCGGTTGCCCGACAGCTCCAGCTCCTCCAGACGCACCAGGGCTGTCAGGTTGGGGATGTCCTTGAGGTTGCACATGCCCAGGTTGAGGTAGCGCAGGTTAACCAGGCCCTCGAAGGCCGCCTCCGAAATGTACTCCAGCCGCTTGAGCTCTCCCAGGTCCAGACGCCGCAGCGACGGCACGCGGTTGAAGGCGTACGAGGGGATGCTCTCGATGGGGTTGTTACGCAGCCAGAGCTCCCGAAGCTTGGACAGGTACTCGAAGGCCTGCGTGGGCACCGTGGTCAGCCGGTTGTCGAACAGCTCCAGCGTGTTGAGGCTGGGCAGCCCGTTGAAGGCCCCCACCTCGATCTTCCGCACCAGGTTCTTACTCAGCTGCAGGATCTCTAGGTGCCGCAGGTGTTTGAACGTGTCTGTCCGGATCACCTGCGGGGAGGGCCGGGGACACCGATCAGTACTGTTAATACAGGTGAGAGGAATGATAAGAATGATATCGACAAGTGTTGGTGAGGACGTGGAGCAACTGGAAGGCTCGCACTCTGCTGGCGGGGGTAAATGACAGTGCAACCTCTCTGGAAAAGCGAGTGGTTTCTCATAACGTCAAACACACAGTTATCATATGACCTGGCCGTTCCATTCGGAGGTGTTGGCCCAAGAGACCCAAAAGTATATGTCCATCGAAAGCATATGCCCATCTTTCTTGTGGAATTACAGCCCCAGCTGGAAACCACCCAAATGGGGGGGGGGCAACCTGAGGCATCTGCGTACAATGGAATGAAACAGAATGAAGTACTGGTACCCTCAGTACCCACAGCGTGGACTCAAACATTCTGGCAACCATGGCTCAGGACTGGGCATGTTCTGTTATACTCAAGGTCACCATGAGGTGGCGATGACCCGATGGCACCTAACAACAACAACAACACCGACGCACTTAACAACTTGGGTGACTCTCATGGGCACCGAGGTGAAGAATGTTGCGCTAGGATTCCCTTGATGCACCAGCCCAGAACAGCAGACATACATGGTTACCTCTGAGTGTGCGTGTGATGCAGAGAAACGAGGTGCTGGGAAGGGGTACAAGGGAACTTTCGAGGCTGGAGGCAATGTTCTCTCTTGGGGTGGCGGTTTCCTGGCTGTAGGCAACCATCCCACTCCCCAAACTGTACACTTAAAAGTGGGTGCATTTTATTATATGTCCATCACACCCCAACACAAAAGATGCACACTGCAGTCCTGGCAGCTGACACGTACCAAGCTCTCGCTCCGTGCGCGATATGGTTCTGAATGCTTTATGGTAACAACTCCCTTTGAGATAGGTTCTTTCCCAAGTCCTTAGTCGCTGCCACCCCCAAACCCACACAGCTCTGTTAACCGGAAGGCCCTTCCTCGTTCTGCACCAGACGCATTTGGTGACAGCCTCATCGGAGCCCCTGAGAAGCTATTTAAAGCATTTATTGGTCCCACTTCTGTGACTATTCAAACATTTCACTCTAGAAGTAATCCCCTGTTTGATGAGACCCGCTGGGGTGTTATAAATTATATGGCACCTTTCCTTTGTAATATCAGAATCCCCCGGTCTGTCAGTCTGTCCTACTGCGGTGGCTGTGTGTTGCTGTGAGGCTGGATGCTAGGCCGCCAGTATTTCAGATACCAGCAGGGTCACCCCTGGTGGGCAGGTTTCAGTGGCGCTTCTAGACTATGACAACGAGGCAGAAAGGGCTGGTGATTTAAGCGCTATGGGTCACAGCAGAACACTGTCTGACAGAGGGCTGGAAGATGAGCCCCCTAGACTGGAAGGCAGCCCGGATCCAGAGTGGCTGCAACCATGGGCGTGAGCAGACCAGCAGTCGGGCAGATGCCTCGGAGCGGGACAGTGTCTGGTTCTATCGGACTTCAGGTCACCTGGCGTTGCAGCCGACTCCATGGCAACTGAGAACGGCGACTGATGGGAAGATGAAGCGCAGAGATCCGAAGTTAACTTGGCTACTAACTGGCAGAGCTTGGGTTTGAACCCGGATCTCTCTCCACTAGCGTGAATGCTTTCAGTCACACGACGTTCTGTTGTGCTGTACAAGGGGTCACTGTGAGTTGGAACCAAGTCAGTGGCAGCTCCCCACAAGAACACCACAAATGTCAGGTGTCTCACAGGAGGGACTAGGAATGACCCCCATCTTAGTGTGAGGAAACGGAGGCACAGAGAGGTGCAGAGACTTGGCCAAGCTCACACAGCGATATGTGCGGGGAGACCTGAGATTTAGACCCAGGGTGTCTGGAGTCAAGGCTCTGATCCCCTGATCTGGATTACCACCTACCTCTTGGGGGCTGGGGCGATGCTGGCCCTGGGGTCTGTGTGGTAGGAGGACATTACAGGCTCTTCCTCCTGTGACGACCACGCCTGTGACATTGAGGCCACTGTGCACCGTCGTTCGTTGTTAGTTAATGATGAGGAGCTCTGGTGGTGCAATGGTTAAAGCGCTCAGCTGCAAACCAAAAGGTTGGTGGTTTGAGTCCACCAGGCACTCACTGGGAAAAAGACGAGGCAGTCTGCATTGGTGAAGCCTTGGTACCTCGGGGGGGCAGTTCCACCGCGCCCTGTAGGGTTGCTGGGCCTCAGAATCCACTCCACAGTAGCGGCTTTTATTTTATTTCATTTTTCCTTTAGTTAGTGATGTGGGGATTCTGGAGCTCCAGTAGGCCACTGCAGTTCTACACTGTAACACGTGGGGTCCCCTAAGTCACAAATACCCCTGACTTACTGAGTTGACTCCAACTCCTAGCAACCCTGTAGGAGCGAATGGAACTGCCCCATAGAGGTTCCAAGGCTGTAATCTTTATGGAAGTAGACTGCCACATTGTTCTCCCATAGACCAGACAGTAGGTTCGAACTGCCAACCTTTTGGTTAGTAGCCCAACGCTTCACCACTGCGCCACCAAGGCTCCTTGTACGAAAGGGGAAATGGAGACCTCTAAGCAGCATACTGTGCGATCGAAATGTCACAAATACAACAAAGATGGCGAAGAGCTGGGTGTCTGTATACAAGTCCCAAAAAGACCGGAAGGAAATATTCCCAGGCTTAGTAGTAAATGCCAAGTGTTGGGGGTTATGGGAAATTTGTATTCTTTTGTTATTTGTTTTCTTTGTCTGACAGAAAATGATGTTTATAACACAACAATGACCAGAATTACTGGTTGGATAGAGACTGGTGGAACCCCCGAGACCATGGCCCTGGGTTACCCTTCGGGCCCGGAAATGGACTCACTCCCATGGATTGGCTCTTAACCCAACAGTAGAAAGACCT